AGGAATGTCTCGCAGTAGCTCCGTGCGAGGTACGTCCTTCCTCACCCCTTCCTCCACATGCTGCTCAACCTGACAGTAGGTGTCTTCAGACTGTCTGAATTCCCTGTTTTCAGGTGTTGAACTTCAGTGTGTTCTCGTTTCCCTACCCTTAGCTGACCGAGGGCCTTGCCACTGCCTTTTCGTTAGTGTCAGTGTGTTTGCCAAGCTGTAGCTGAGCTAAATCAGGCAGGAAATGCCTCAGGACTGAGGTGAATCCACCTAGAGGCTCAAAGGGTTGAAGTGGGTGCACATGAGGCCGTAGCTGATGATTTTAACCTAGCGCTGAATGTGTCCATGGTGGCCTTTCGCTTCTAATAAGAAATCAAGGGAAAACAAACAAAAACTCTAAGAAGCTGTGCCCTCTTGAAGGGCACATAAAAGTCAAAACACCCTTACTGGAATTGAAGCGTGTCTTGAGAAACGTTTTTATCTTGTCATCACCTGCAAGGAGCTCCCCTCTCTTTACAAAGGGGGAGGAATGTTTAGACTTTGCTCCATGTGCGCCTAAGGGTTGTCACTGGTTTTGAAATTGCTCAGAGTGTTGTTTGTCTGGAAAGACCTAGGTCGATTCGTGCATGAGGATTTGTATCAGAAAGGTTTTAATGCCATATTTTCCAAACTGTATGTTGAAAACCACTGTAGCATCACAGCTGTGTCTCCTCTTTGATCTGCTCTGTTGATTTCAATAAGATGTGCATAATTCTCACCTGACATTGGTAATTCTTTTCTTGTATTTGGATTAAAATAAATAAAGTTACCCACCAAAAAGAGTCTTTCAGTGTTTTCAGTGCTTTCAGCATATATATTTTTGGCTGTCTTGTGTAGTTTTCAGTAAGTTTGTATTTTCAGGTGATGTGATTTGCAACCCGTCCTCTCTCCTCCAAACCTGAAGGCAAAGTTGGTGACTGGAGCGTTCGGGAGGTCCCTCGGATGGAGCCGTCGCTCCCCGCGGCCCCCGGGCGCGCCGTGGCCGCGCTGGGGTCGGGGCGCGGTCGGTTCCGGTCCCGCGGGTCGGTTCCGCTCGAGGATGTGCTGGAAGTGCCAAGGGCTGCTCTCGGTGTCCGTGCGTTGATTTCACTGCAGGTGCCTCTCGTGCGCGGTGCAGCGCTGTGTGTTAGAAACTCTGAGCATCTGTGTCCTTGCGTTACTTGGTTTCTAATGCTTATTTTCCTTTACTAATTTATTCTCCCTTGCTTCTTTTGTTTTTCTCCTTTCTGCAGCTGAAGAATGCTTTGCTGATTCTGACCTCAACTTTCTTATTCCCATCGCAGTGGGCATGGCGCTGGGCTTCCTTATCATTCTTGTCTTTATATCTTATATCATTGGAAGAAGAAAAAGCCGTACTGGCTACCAGTCTGTATAGCCTCTTAGTTCCACCTCTGCTGCCACCCCTCCTGGTCCTTTCCCAGACTCCCCGCTTTCTCCCTTTAAAAAGAAGAAAAGTAACAACCAAATGAGGTCACAGTTTATTTAAAAAAAAAATAACAAAAATCACAACCAAATGGCATGCCGTAAGTCTGAAGATGAATTGCAGAATGATTTGAAGCTGCTGTGTGATTTTGGAGAACGTGTGTGTTTTGGGGGCAGTATGTTTAAGTACAGCTGATGTGTGTCCCCCTGCAAAATGAGATTATTTTGACCAAGGAACAGATTTAAGAGACTTTGTTTCCATGGTTAATCTTTTATATGAAAATATTTAGAGCTGCATACAGCTTAACTCAATGCTGAAGCTAAAACCATAATTAAGGTATGAAGAGGAGAACTCTGCATATCATAGGAAAAAGAATACCAAGCTCTTACAGACTTCGAATTGGAAATTGGTTTATGGCTGTGGTCTTTTTCATCATTTAGCAGCTTGTTCCAGTGAGTTAGTGTCAATTTCCTATTCCTCCTGAATGTGAAGGTAATCCCTGACCTCGCTAATCCATTAACGCGGCATGGGAAGAACATCTGAGTGTTCAAGTAATGAATGTGTCTTAACATCAGTATGGAGAAGTTGATGGCCAACATATGTGAAATGGCTTTGCACTAGCACGATGTCTTTAATGTCTTTATTCTGTAAGGCAAGTTGTAGCAAACTTCACTTCTCAGAAGAGCCAACAGCCTCCTCAAAGAAATGTCACGTTATCTTGTTTGACTGTTTGTGTTTTGATTGTGAGGCAAGGGAAGGGTGGGATTTCACCAGTCTCGGTGGATCTTGGTTTGGATTCTGAGCACATGAGAGAAACTACAGTAGGAGTGACCCCGAGAGGCTTAAAAGTGTTTGGAGACACCTCAAGGATTGACCTGAGAGCACGGCCTGTTCAAAGGGATTCCCGCAGTTCCATTGGAAAGCTTTCCGGGATTTGCGAAGGGTCACTGAAAAGCTGTGATCTAGGAATACAATCCAAGAGGTTAAAATAGTGTTTTGGGAGGATTAATCTTATGCTGCCACCATCCTAATCATGACTCTCTCCAACAAGAGTGTTGAGTGTGTAAGAGCACAAAACTTCTAGCATGAAAAATGATGACCATGAAGCTGAAAAACAAACAAAGGAGACGACTTTCAGAGGAATGATAGCAACTGACTTGTGGAAGTTTTCATTATCATTAATATCCTACTTTTTGAAGCAAGATAGAAACTTCGTGGCTGGATTCTGCCTCATCTCCGAACAGGTTCGTGTTGCTGAGGTGAAGGCAGCTCTCCAGCTCCTTGGTCCAGCCTTTCACAACATCTGAGTGATGGAGAGATTCCTGCCAGCTCCGCAAGCAGCTGCTTTAGGAGAGGGTTTAGGAGAGCTGCTTAATGCTCAATCCCGCTGTGCCCGGAGCAGGGAGAGCAGCTTCTGTAATCCACGCGCATAAAGGAGAGCGTCAACAACAATGCTTAAATAATTCACAATAGCACTAAATGTGGGGAAGGGAGATTTTCTGAGAGTTACCTTTTTCTTTAGAGAAATACTCTCCTCACTGTGACCAAGCCTAAAGTTTGCTGGGATCTGATATCTTTTTTTTTTTTTTTAAACTATAAATGGGCTCTTGCACCAAGCCCTCTTACTTAGGGGTGTTACTTAATGCTGCTGGGCTGTGTGTTTTGGTTCTGGTTGTCTTGGCCTTTTGTGTTGTACCTTTGCTCTCACAGTATCTGATCGCCCTGCAGGAGGGCTGAATGTCGGGTTATTTGGAGACTGGCAATTCTGAATTGCAGCCGCCTGTCAAAGTCAGATTCTGCCCATGGTTTTATGCTCAGGTGCCAGATCGAAGTGTCTTGCATCATTTTTGCTAGATTATTTTACTGAAGTGTGCAATTTTCCTAGATGCATATATATATTAATATATATATATCTATTTAAGTACCATTTGGGGCTTCAAGAGAAGCCACAAATTGAACTAGCACTTTAGGGCTGTAGCGTGAACAATGGTATATACAGTTCTCTGAATTTGCAAATGACTGTGCAAATCTGCTGAAAGCAGAATGTGTATGAACCAATAAAGTTAACCAAGATGTTTATAAAGTTTTGTCTAAGTAAACATACATGCAGTTGCTGAAAGCTTTTCCGTGGAGGCTGGCTGTCTGCTCTGGGGGTTGGTGCAGAAACTGAAATTTTTGCTTCTACGTTGCTCGTGCCCTGACTTTGCAGTTACTGACCTCTTTGCTCACTGGATCAAAGCATAGGCCCATTTCTGCTAACACACAGTACCAGCTGCTTCACTAATTCTACTAATAGGCAGCTGTGGGGTAGATGCAATTAAAGTTTTGTCCTGTTGTCAGTTGGAAAGCTGCTAATTTACGGGCCAGGAGCATGGATGTTCTTGTTTCTTTTCAGAATCCTTCAGAATCGAAAGTGTAGATCCTTGTTGGCACAACAGTGGTGTTGCCCTTTCTCCATAAGGAAGAATAGCTCATAAATATCCTCTGTTTATCTCTGATTTTTAATTCTTAAAAAGCAGCATTTGACAGGCAGTTGTCTTCTATGCCTGCCCTGTAATGAGGCTTCCTGCATTAAGCTAGAGCCCTAGAGAGTTTAAATCAAATGCCCAAAATTCAAGGATGGAATTACATGCATCTTTGAAATCCAGCCCCTGAATGGCCAACAAAGGGGACAAAAATTACCAAGGAAATCTGCTATTCTAGTGTTTTAAGAAAGAAAGCATACCATTAGTTTTACTGTAGTCAGCTTTATTTTTAATACAAAAATGCCTTCTCAGAGACCTTACTATATATAAGAAAATGTTGGCAGATTAAGTGTTTGAGCTGGGATGTGGGACAAACACCGTAATGCTCTTATTTAGTAAATGTGCTTTCCCATGGATACAGTAGCCTAACATGTCCTACCGTGTTCTCATAACTAAAAACAGTGTTGTAGAGTGTATTTATCTGTGGCTCAAATACAAAGGTGTACAATCAAAAATAATCTCACTTTGTGAAGAATCAAAATTATTTTAAAGTGTCCGTAGCTCAAATGTCTAGAAATTGAGAATTTTGCTGTTATAGGTGTTTGAATCGCCCCAGTGCTCTGCCCTTCTAGGGAGCTTTCAAACAAAGTTAGCAAAGATTTCCCAGATAGTGACAACAAATGAGGCCTGTGTCCGCTCTCCGCAATGCAGGAAGGGAGCCAAGTGAGGGCTTCCCAGGAGAAGCCGCACACGGCGCGCAAGTCTCCTGGGTTTTGTCCTGTGCAGCCCTGCCAGGCCCGGCCTGCGCTGCAGAGCTCCTCTGTTCCCTGAAATGCTTTCCAGTATTTCTGCAGCCCGGGCTGCGCAGGGGCTGGGTTGGCTGCACACGGGGCAGAGACGGCTCCAGTGAAGGGGCCTCAGACCCTCTGGCCCAATAAACCAGAGTATTTTTTTGAGATTTATCTGTCACAGGCATAATTCAGAATTTTTGCCATTTATTTTTTTAGAAACAAAAATAGTATTAATAAACTACCACCTTGTTAGATTTTGCCTAAGAAATGAACACGAGACACTTGAAGATTAAAATATAAACCTAGGAAAAATGTGTTGTTATGAATCTGGTGTTCAGATACCAGGGTTTTATAATTAAAACTGAAATGCTATAGCAGGTTCTCTGCCTAAGATAAAACTTTTAATATTTCTAGTAATGCTTACACTAGATCTTTAAAAATTTGATTCTTTGTTCAATTACATGTCCTTTGTCTCCTAAATATAAACAAAAATAAGTTAACAAAAAATTCCATGTGTCTGGTTTTCCTAACAGAAGAAATGCTGGCTTTTAGGCTTTAGAAAGGGAAAAGCCCCTGCCTGGTGTCAGCTAAGTGCCCGGCCTTTGCAGTGGCTACTTCCCAATGCTGAGCGTGAAGATGATGCGGCCCAGGAAGCGGTCGCTGTGCAGATCGTTGACGATACCTTTCCCGTTGAGGCTGCACTGGATAGGGACCACGCTGTTCCTCCTCACGTCTGTGAAGTGCATAGCCACCAGCGGGGATGTATAATTGACCTGAAAAAAAACAAAAGGGAGATCTGTTAAATATAAATTTGTAGTAAAATATAAGCAGTAGGGCACTGCTGTTAGACTTCTACTGCAAGAACAGGGGCAAAGGGCTGCAGTGTCTTCTGGTTTCCTCCTCCCACTGTGCAGATGCTCTCAGACCAAACCAGGGAGGGGTGTCTAGAGGACACCAGACACTCCTACATGAGCCACCCAGCCTGAAGCGCCTGGTTTTATCTTTGAGAGCAGCCCTGTGCTTTTCTCCTCTCACCTGCCCGTCAGCCTCCCTAGCACCTCGGGACGTGCGGGTGCTGAGACCTTCTTGGGGAATCAGCAAAACCAGTCTCGGTCTCCAGCAGATAAATATAACCGTTCGGTGCTGGCAGGAGGCGAGCAGAGTCCCCGAGGAGCTCCCGGGGTTTGGCAGGGACACAAATAGGGCCCGGGAAGCGGGATGCCCCCCTGCCTGCCCAAACGGGCCAGAAAGGGCAGCAGTTCCTGCCCCTTCCCTGGGAACCGAGCAGGGAGCCGGCCCAACGCTGGGTCTTACTCACGTGCGTCATCTTGCCGTAGTAGGGATAATACATGAGATCGAACGTGCCATTCCCAGGATAGAAGTCTACTGATCTCAGGTCACTCTCATTGCCCTTCTGTGATTAAAATATATGTGTATATATATGTATATATATGCACACATACACATTCACACCCAGCACATGGGACACAATGTATCTTCCTTTGGGATAACAGGAAGGAGCTTTAATACTGGCATCCTTTGCGAACTGCCACATGGCTGAGCTGCCTCTGCCTCCTTACACGCAGGGTTTGCAATGAGAACCAGCTGCTGCTGGAATGAGTCAAAAAATAACCGTGCCGCGGTGGCGCGGGCCAAGCTCGCAGGCTCTGCTGCCCATAAATCTGTCTCTGTGCCCAACAGCTTCTCTATTGCTGTTTAAGGGCATGCTGCAGCCCCACGCCACGGGAGTCTTCCCTCGCCCCTGTTGCAGGCAGCCTGCTGGGTGCTCCCTGGGGCAAGGAGGCTCTTGGCGGCCGCGTGCGGGGGGACGTGAGCAGCGCTCCGGGGGCTGCAGCTGCAAGGGCAGCAGAGCCAGGGAATCCCACCCGCAGAGCCAGGGAATCCCACCGGCCGGCAGCGCTCGAGGGCCGGGGCCGCCTTGGCTGCCTCAGCAGAGCAGCCCTTGCTGGGCTGTTCGCGGACCCTGCGCTGGCGCGAGGCCGGGCGCTGGCGTGGGGAGCACGTCAGGAGGGACGGCACCTTTTCCGTGCGCCCAGCCACAAAGGGAAGCGGTACCTGCACTTTGCAGTCCACGCTGACCGGGACCCCGGCACCCGGTCGGTAGCCGATGATCTGCAAAACAGAAGCCAAGGCTGCTCTCTTGGAAGCG